GTTGGGGTACATTACCGCTATCACTAGGAGACAGGATAAGCACTGTCAAGATGAATATCCTACCTAGATTTCTATATCTGTTCCAGTGTATCCCGATATTTTTAACTAAATCGTGTTTCCTACTGATAGACAGGCTGATATCAACTTTTATATGGAATGGGAAAAATGCACGCATCCGTAAAAGTGTTTTGCAGTGACACCGAGGTCATGGAGGACCATCATTACCCAATTTTCAGTACTATTATTGGGCAGCCAATGCTCGTTCTATGTTATGCTGGTTTAACTCGCATGCTAGTGGTCCTAAATGGCTGTCCCTTGAGAATTTGTCATGCCATCCTGCTTCTTTACATGCATTGCTCTGCTCAACATTGCCATCACCTCATCCAATATCAAAATACTCTCTGAATCCAGTGGTTAAACACTTCTTCAAAATATGGGGACAGTTTAGAAGACATTTTTCACTTAAAGACGTGTCAGTCTTCGCTCCCATAGCAAGAAATCACATGTTTACTCCTTCTATTATAGATGATTCTTTTTGTTCTTTTGTAACCACCATTTTATTCATGAAAAATAATACATTTTATTATTGAAAAATAATATTACCGAATTTCAGAATCAAGATTTTTATATCTAAACTATAAATCTGTTTCTTTTACAGATATTTTTTTAATCAAGTTCAAATCTTTTTTTTTTGCATATTAATATATTTTCCTATTAATTATTTTTTAATTTAGCAAATATGTAACACTTTACAGTAGAAAATGTTGTGCATGTTACATATATTGTATTTATAATTATATATATATATATATATATATATATTTAAAATATATATAATACATATATATATATATATATATATATATATATATATAGTACTATTTCACAAAAGTGAGTACACCCCTTACATTTCAGCAAACATTTTTAATCTTTTAAGGGACAATACTATAGAAATGAAACTTGGATATATTTTAGAGTAGTCAATGTGCTGCTTATATAGCAGTATATATTTACAGTCCTCTGAAAACAACTCAACGTACAGCCATTATTGTCATAGCTGGCAACAAAAGTGAGTACACCCTGTGTGAACATGTCAAACCCGTGTCCAAAGTGTCAATATTTTGTGTGAGCACCATTGTTATCTACAGTAGCACTGCCTTAATCTTTATGAGCATGGAATTCACCAGAGCTACACAGGTTGTTGCTGGGATCCTCTTCCACTCTTCCATAATGACATTACGGAGCTGCTAGATGTTAGACACATGGCGCTTCTCCACCTTCGGCTTGAGGATGCCCCACAGGTGCACGATAGGGTCCAGGTCAGGAGACATACAGTACTTGGCCACTCCATCACCTTCACCTTAACCTTACTCAGCAAGGCAGTTGTCATCTTGGCGGTGTGTTTGGGGTCGTTATCGTGCTGTTCAGCCCAGTTTCTGAAGGGAGAGCATCATGTTCTGCTTCAGAATGCCACAGTGTATGTTAGAATTAGAGTGCGGATCGGGCCGCATTTTTCTGTCCGAGCCCGACCCACGTCCGACAGGGCAGTACCAGAACCCGACCCGAGCCCGACAGGCATTAAGACATTTATGTCCGAGCCCGACACAGTTAAAAATCTTCTTTTTTTTTTTCTCATACTAATGACACGTACGTTTGTTTGTGTTGAAAGCCCACTTTTATTTAGCAACTGGAAGGCATTCGGAAAATGTTTACAGATGTGCGCAACGCATCAGCATGCGCCACACACGGCCAAAACAGCGCATGTTAACACAGGCGCGCACAAGAGGCCCAAACAAATAAACCAATTGAAATTAAATTAACAAAGCTAGGTCTATATTAAATTACCCAACCTAACAGAACAAAACATTAACGTAACACTTTTTAAACGTAGGCCTATGAGCTTATTGAAATGAAAATAACTCGTCTCTTACCATTTTTCTCGGAAACTGTGAGGCTAACTGTAACATGGGATTCACATAATCTATCCTTCAAGGTTTAGGCTAATCCAGGTTCTTATGCAGAAAAAGGATTGCATCAACGGTGGATGGCTTCAAGGCTGTCCTCCTCTGCTCGATGGTCCTGCCAGCAGCACTGAAGTTGCGCTCACTGCTGCTGCTGCTGGCTGGAATAGCAAGGATGCCGCGGGCAAGGACACTAAGCTTCGGGTAGTTGAGTTGATGATCGCTCCACCAGCCCAAAACATCTGTCATCCTGCATTGTATGATTTTGAGTCGAGTACATCTCGACTTCGTCTGTGGCATCTGCCACAGGTACATTTTCCCACTCGTCGTCAAAGTCAACTGCAGCTTTCTTGGGCGCGGGTCCTTCAGTGGCGGTCTCCTGGGTGCGGAATGGGATGTCACTGAGCTGTCTCCGAACCTCCTGGAGAAGGTTGTCTCTCTCTGAGGAGGACAACATTCGGAGCTGGCTATATTTAGGCCAAAGGAAAGTTGCAATTTTTTGGAGTTCTTGGATCTCCACTTTACGCAAAATCCAACAGAGATGCCGCTCGCGGATGATGGCTTGATAGGGGCTGTCAGTCGTTTTTTTTTTTTGCAGTGGCGCTTCAGCCGCTCAAACCACAGAAACACTAGGTTTATCGTTGGGTACTGGTCACCTTCAAGTTCACGCTGGGCATCGTAAAATGGTTGCAGGAACTCGACAAGAAAGTCAAGGACATCTGGAGATATGGCATCGATCCGCCAGCCCTCTGCGCGATCATTTAGTTTTTCGCGTAGTTCTTGATAAACCGAGCGGACAGAATTTAAGGTCAGATATACCGTGCTAAACCTTGTGTCTGCCATTTGGATGACTGTTTTTGACAGCAAAGCTGCCATGCCCGACTTTTTGACATATTTGACAAGTGCCTTGGTAGCTTGCAGAGTGTCTGCAACATTTGGAGCATCTTTGGCCAGCTGTGTGGGGTCTAGGGCGTGTCTCATCACCGTATTATACACATGATCTTGGCAGTCAAGTCTTCGATATGGTCTCAGGGCACTGATGATGTTTGAGCCTTGGTCTGTCATCCATACCACTTTATTCAGCAGACTCATATCCAGGCCATACTCCGTTAGAAGTCTGATGATTTCTCTCCTAATATTCTCCCCCGTCTTAGCCTCTTCCAGTGGGAATGCGACTGTTGTTAATACGGTGCTTATCATTTTAAATGATCGTGTCACGAAATGGCAAGTGATGGTCAAGTAGCTTAATTTGTGGTAGTCCTCCGTCCAGATATCCGTTGTCATTCCGATTGAATTCACCTCAGACAGAGTATCATTTAGCTGCTCGACCAGCTTTGTGCGTTTCTCTATTGCCAGCTCACGGCACCGTTTTGACACAGTGGTGGGATCAGGCAGTACATCCTGCGCTGCCACTGAACCATATGTTGCACCGATGTTAATAAGCTGCTGGGCCAGCTCAATGAAACCCTCTCCTTCAATGGAACGAAATGGCCTTATGTCTTTACAGCAGTACTCAACGCATTTTTTTAGTCAGTTTTTGTTTGTCCTGCTGAGGAATTTTTTTTGAGGAACTAGCAAAGGCAGTGATACTCGGCTGCAGTAGCCCAGGTGACTTACAATTTTTATCCACATGACGCTGCAAGGCGGAATTCCCGGTCCTCTTGCTGTCATATTTCATGAGAAATCCACAACTCTTACATTGAACATAACCAACATGTTCATCACTATCAGCCTTGACAACAATGTAGAAAAACTTCCACACAGTCGACTTTCCTTTATTTTCGGTGGTTTTAAAATCTCCTGAGGCCAATTTCTTTTTAACGTCTTCCATTTTTGCGCTGCCAGCCACATGTAGCCCAATATGCAATATTATGCACGCACGTGTTGCACGTTGTCACAGCAACATAAACAAATTTCCGCACACATGGAGATGGAGGTTAGGGTAATATTTAAAATTTATTTTAATCACAAAAACAAACATTTGCATCCAGTTAAACAATATAATAAAACTGTTTCAAATTTCAAATGTTAAATGCCTTATCGCGCCGACGTGACCGAGCCCGACCCGAACCCGAACGTCATTTCAAAATATTTGTTCGAACCCGGCCCGGCCCGTCGGGTACCGTCGGGTCCCTTCGGGCTCGGTTCGGGTATCCATCCTCTAGTTAGAATCCATGTTTCCCTCAAAGAAGTGCAGCTCCCCAGTACCAGCAGCACTCATGCAGCCCCAGACCATGATGCTACCACCACCATGCTTGACTGCAGGCAAGACACAATTTTCTTGGTACTCCTCACAGGGGCATCGCCACACATGCTAGACACCATTTGAACCAAACAAGTTCATCTTAGTCTCATCAGACCACAGGAGATGGTTCCAGTAATACATGCTCTTGGACAGGTTGCTTTCAAACCTTGTGAGCCAGCTCCAAAAAAGGCTTCCTTCTGGGACGATGGCCATGTAAACCAACTTGTTGTAGTGTGTGGATGGTCTGAGCACTGACAAGCTGACCTTCCACTTTTGACGCACAGCACAAGGACTCAACTTATTTGACTGACCCGTGTGAGGCTTGTTCCAAGTGGAACCTGTCTTGGAAAACCTGTGTATGGCCCTGGTTTGTACTATAATACAGTTTCAGGGTGTTACCAATCTTCTTATAGCCTAGGCCATCTTTGTGGAGAGCAACAATTCTAATTTTCAAATCCTTAGAGAGTTATTTGCCATGAGGTGACATGTCGAACATCCAATGGTCAGTATGAGAGGATTGTACTCAAACCACAAATTTTATCTGCTCTAATACAAGATACAACAATTTGTTTGGTCCTGTCAAGCAGGTGAAAACATGAACATGATGAATAGGACATGTGGCTTTGCATGGTTAAAAGACATACAGCTATTATCACTTAGGGTGTACTCACGTTTGTTGCCAACTATTTTGACAATAATAGCTGTGTGTTGAGTTATTTTCAGTATACAGTATAATGAATATATGTAAATAGTGAATCATAAATTTCCTTTAACAGGTTGTTTTATTCTCTTACCTTAATTTTAAACTCCAACTGGGAATTGATGGTGTACATCATTTCCGTTCTCTCCATTGTACGAGCGCCCTCATTACATTTCCTCACAAGCTGCATATACACACATACAGACAAAAGATGTTGATTATTAACATATATAAGTATACAACGCTAGTATTAGACAACACTAGAAAAATCCACATTGGTAATTCATGGAATTTCTTACCTTGCTGACAGCATGCAGAGCTTTTTTACATGCCTCGTAAAGGATCGAATCTTTTGGCGTCTTCTGGCTTATGGTCTACAAGACAAAATTATCTTTAAACTGTTGGTGCTTTTGCAAACTGTCTAATATGCTAGGAATATAAAAAAGACTTGCAACAGAACTTGTTTCCTGTATACAGTATATAGTTTTTGGTTTATTATTCCTGAAGCCTTTTGAATACTTTATATTTAAAGGAGTGCTCTCAAACTTTCTCTCACGCTTGTCTGATATTTCCCAGCTAAAGTTTTATTTGTTTCCAAGCTGTGGGAATAAAAAGAGAGAGAAGGAAAGAAAGTCAAACCCAATTTTCTCATAGCCAGAGTCAGCCGGCCCAGCTTTACTGTTCTAAACTCACCACCAAGCTCAGGGGACCCACAAACAAAGAGACAGAGGGGTGGAAAGATGAGAGGGTGAGAAAGTGAGAAAAGGTCTACAGGAAGGAGGGATGCATGGTGATAAATGAAAACATGAGCTTTGAGGATAGGGACCATGGAGATGTTTCTAGGTCATCTTTAGTGCAGCTGACTCCCTCACTTCATTTTTTACACACACAATCCACTGAATAGGAAAAAGACGACAGAGAAAAAAACAACACCCGTTTAAACCACCTTTTAAGTATAATAAAACAACTCCAACTCAAACCATTTACCTTATGCAAAAATACTGCAGAAAAATCAAGCAAACGAAAATTAATATTAACTGAATTGTTACAGTTGAACAGGGAGGCCCTGAAAGCTATTTTTAATGAAACAGAAGATAATTGGAAGAGAGTGGAATTGACAAGGTATGAAGAGCAGAGAAAGAAAAACAAGTAGCAAGGGACTTTAATATGATGTGTTATGTAACAGGGAAAGTCCTGCAGGTCAAACCAAACACATAACATTAGTGGAATCTCTATGGGATGAATACAGTATCCAAATTATTAACACGTGCAAGCACAATTATAAATGAACTTGATACACGTTGCAGAAATGTTTTATCCATAACTTTCAACTTACGTGTGCGAAATTCAAAATTGAATGAATGTGTAGCAATTTGTACAAATAGAGAAATCTGTGTGAATACAAATGTTTTCATAATTTGCGCATGCAACAACAACAAAAAAATGTGCATGTGTGGATCAGGTGGCGCACATGCATTCATTGAATTATTTTCTGAGTCGGTCTCATTTGATTCATTTGGATTTTGAGACTTTCTTTTCGCCGTTTTTAAGCATTTCACAACCCACAAACAAATCACTACAAATGAATAGGCCTAGTGCTAATTATTAATGTGTGCAAAACTACCCATTTATTTGGGTAATAAAGTGTGCATCGCCACATTTAAACTAAACACAATACAACTTCTGTGTGGAAAATCCAGAATCACATGAATGTGTAGCATTTTGTACAAATAGAGACATAGTTGTTAATACAAAACCTCAATTTTGTTTTAATGTAACAAAATTGAAGAATTTGTTCATGCAACAAGTAAGATGTGCATTTGTGGATGAGGTGACACGTGTGCATTTATTGACTCGTTCCTGAGTCAATCCTTTTGGATTCATTTGGATTTTGATACTTTCATTTCGCTGGTTTCGCCTTGCAAGATCCAGACACACTGTCTGAGAAAACCTGCTACCACTAGATGACGACGGCAGCGTAATCAAGCGTTCTTCAACATTTAAGATGCTTAATGTGAGTGATATTGAAGCGCTAAATTTAGTACGCAATATAGGCCTACCTTATTAATAAAGCATACTTTAGAGAGGCAATCAGATTATGAACAACACCCATAGAAAACCATTATAAAACGTTTCATAGCGCATTGCATGTTCAATGAGGTGTATCGGCTACTGAGTTTTAAGATCACTGTCTTACTGCTTAAGCTTATTCATAATAGAATCTATGGGAGGAAAACTACATAGCCTATACAGAGCTTACATACACGCGATGCACAACTTATAACGTTAATGGCATTTTCCTTCCTGAGCCTATTAAAAAGAAAATTCTGCAGTTGACATTCTGATACATTCTGTAGTTGCTTTGACCTTAGCATGTTTAGCAACCGGTCCGAGAGAGCAGTAAAGTAAGTTTTAGGTTTGATATTCCCCGCATTTTTTAAAGGGACCAACTGCAAATTCCTCTCACAGTCAAAAAATATAAACGTCTAGTCATTAATTCAAATGAAAATCCCTAGTGGACTGACTGACACTTTTCATACTTAATACTCAATACATTTAAAATCAGGTCATTTTACTATTTTTAAGTAGGGTTGCCATTGTGGTACTTCTACTAAAGTAAATATGTCTTATTTGTACTTTTACTTAAGCACGCTGTGTTCAGAATTGCTGTGTGATTATTTTGACCATATCATCATTTGTATGTATTTTTTCCAACTCCAAGCTGTATAAACTTGAATGCTTATTGGATTTAATCATTTTCAGGTGATGTATTTTGTGTAATGAGGGAGGGTGTGGCCTCAGGAGATCAACACCCAAGGTGTGCATAATTATTAGGCAGCTTCTTTTCCTCAGGCAAAATAGGCCAAAAAAGTCGAAAATTTAAAAAAGTATTTCAGAGGGATGCAGCGCTCTTGAAATTGCTAAGATATTGGGCCGTGATCACAGAACCATCAAACGTTTTGTAGAAAACACTTAACAGAGTCGCAAGAAACGTGTTGAGAAAAACAAAACGCAAATTACCGTATTTTCCACACTATAATGCGCACTTAAAAGCCTTTAATTTTTACAAAAAAACGACAGTGCACCTTATAATCTGGAGCGCCTTATATATGGATCAATTGTTCATTAACGCTCCGCGTTATTAAATTCACCCGCGAACTCGCACTCGTGTCCATCTTATGCCCGCTTTGTCACACGGCCAGTTCAACCTCGTATAAATCAGGTTTTGTGTGTAAGTAACGCGTCCGCTCAAGAGCGCATATGAGTCAGGCTGCGAATGTAAGTTACGTGCCCGCCCCAACGCAATCATGCTTAGGCTACTAATAAACACATCACCTCCGGCACCGCGCACTCGCTACATTCCCTTTAGCACATCTAACGTTAGTGGATACATAACGGAAACCCAGTCAAACGTGTGACTGCAGTATCTTATGCGCCTTATAATCCGGTGCACCAGGAACCCATAATCCTCCAGTGCTGTCATATTCCAGAACTGCAACCTGGACTTCCCAGAAGTACAAGGGTGTTCAGTGGTCATAGACATCAGACCACCATTGAACAAGAAACATAAGCTGAAAGGTCAAGACTGGGCCAGGAAATATCTGAATATAAATTTTTCAAAGGTTTTATGGACGGATGAGATGAGAGTGACTCTTGGTGGGCCAGATGGATGGGCCCGTGGCTGGATCAGTAATGGGCACAGAGCTCCACTTCGACTCAGACGACAGCAAGGTGGAGGTGGGGTAATGGTATGGGCTGGTATTATTAAAGATGAGCTAGCTGGACCTTTTCGGGTTGAAGATGGACTCAAAATTAACTCCCAAACCTACTGCCAGTTTTTAGAAGATACTTTCTTCAAGCAGTGGTACAGGAAAAAGTCTCCATCTTTCAAGAAGTCCATGATTTTTATGCAGGACAATGCACCATTATAATAATAATACTAATAAATAATTAGTAGCCTAAAAACTTCCGTCTAGTTGTCATGGATACGCAAAGCTCCACTCTGTAAAGCGACTGCTTGGCTACTTTTCACAATGCAACAGCGCCTGGCTCCACCCAAATATGTGTGAAAAAAAACTGTGTTGATTGACTTGACTATGAACAAATGAACATAGTTTTAGATAAATCTATTTAGATTGCTAAGCTTTAGATAGCCGGTCCACTGATGTAAACGATGGCAACCGGAACCGAAGAACCCAATATCTAGCCTGGCTGCGCCCTCCTAGGCACTTCCGCTCAATTTCATTTTACTTCAGTACTGCGTCTGGGACCGCTCCATATCCTTAGGTTTCCAGAAATCAATTTTTTGTAGGACCAATCAGCGAATAGAGGGTGTGGCTGAGAACGATGACATTGATGTAAGCGCGTCAGTTTCAGTTCAGTAATGGCAGCGGAGAAAGACGTGAGAAAAGCTATTCGGTCCGTTGTTGGAAAAGAAACTGCCGAATATACAGAATTTAAAGCCGGATTGTTATCGTCTCACCTCTTGTTGCACAACTGAGGACCAAGTGAAGGAGGCAGAAAGTTTGGAAGTTTGTGCTGGGCAGTTCGTGCACGATGACCGTGACATTTTGGACGGACGGTTTATTAGCCTGGTGTTCGCGGTGTTCGGAAGCCCCGAGTCCTGGCTGCTAAACTATTGTTGAAGATCCGCTCAGGAGTCATGTCAGTCGCTCATATTCCCAACTGTATAGTTACTGATTCTTGTGATGAATAGAACATTTTGAGCCCCTTTGTGCACTCGTGCAGTAGGTTGGTGTGTCAGTTTTACATGTTGTAAATCATACAAATTGGTTGTGATTTAAAAAGAATAATTGTCATAAATAAAAATGTGAAAAACCATACTTTGAAGATATTTGATTTTCAGTTTTAGATGGCAATGGTTGATTTGTTTTACTAAAAAAAAACTAAATGCCATATAAAAATGTACAAACACATACTTTGAAGACCAAAATTAAGGTAATTAAGAAACAATAAGACGTAATATGAAAAATTGTTGTTTATTACACATCTGCAGATAGAGACAGACTGATCATTCACTGTAGCAGCTAACGTTACAGCATTTGCGGCAGATCAGAAAACGACCACAGCGGCGTATTTGTAATGATTAGACACAGCTTCCACCGTTTGATGTATCACTGTCCTTCGTGTCAAATATACATTTCGAATTAAAAATTGTTCCTAGATTAACAAAACCTGCGGCGCTCGTAACATAATCCTCTTCGGCGCGTGACATACGTCACTCACGACACCCCGTTAGCGATTGGCTATGGCAGATCGTGAGTGACTTTGGGCAGATCCAATAGATTTGAACTTTAATAGTGAACCCGCCTACAAGGAAGGAAACGTTTCTCAATGGAGCGGTTCCAGACTC